AACGTAATGGAAACATGTGACTTGTGACGTGGCAACATCCGGGACAGTTAAAAGAAGAGCAGTTGTTGTGGTTTTTGGAAAAAACAAGAAAGAAGAAACATATTCTTCTAGAAGTGTTAGTTATTAAGAGTTCTTTGTGGTTCTTAGAGTACGGGTAACAGTAACATATGCTGGTGTTTGCATAGTTGGTGGCAAAAATAAACTGCATTGGCACCACGCTTCCAGCAGTCCTTCACAGCCCTAATTTGAATTCGTCACGCAACGCCATTTCTCCAACGTTGCGTGACGAGACCAACAACGACCTGCTCGTAGGCTATAAAAGTGCTTACTGCCGCCTCTGTCAGAGACAAAGCCATAAGTATTATTCTGGCTGCAAAAGGCCAGAATAATTCATCCTGTATGGTTTTTCCTGTGCAGGAAAATGCACGGCCGGCGTTACGTAGCACTTTTTAATTGGCGTAAAGCAATGTGGTGGACATGGCCTAGAAAGAGGCTGAATTTTGGCATCTAGTATCTGTCAGGCTTAAAGTGCTGGGCCGATAACCAAGTTTTTTAAAGTTTATACTTATCTTTCGTGTGAACTTAAATATATTTCTTTAAAGCACAAACCTAATACTGTAAATCACTTCTATTGTTAGCGTACTGATGAGAACAACCACCCTTGGGAACAGTAAAAGTTCATTTGCTGATTGTTTAAATTAGATTAATTAATACAATCGTTTTATGTAAACATTGGCGATTGGATCCTTCAGTAGATTTTTATATGGAGGATGAAACCACAGGCGTCCCAAGTTCACGTCTCGAGCAAAAGCGAAGGATTATTTATTTGAAGCGTCACGCGTTGTGTGACGCAGTGTTAAGTTACGCGAACAACCTTTGAGAATTTTAATGCGTTATAGGGAATAGTATAGGAAATAAAATATGATCCAGTTAAAACACTAAATATTCCGAAATATGAACATTTTCCACGCTAGATCAATAAAACTTACTCATTCTTTGCGTATTCGTCGTGTTTTTTGGCGATTTCTGCTGTTTTGGGCTTGCTTTGCCATTACTGTTTTTCCTCTTATCTATCCTGGTCCCAGAGGTTCTCTTCTCTCTAAACAAATAGGATAAATCTCTTCTCCCTGAAAAAAACGGCGCCAAGCGCCGGCTATTATTTTTTCGATACCTGTGATTGGCCGGTGAAAAAATATGTGGGGGAGGGTGTAGTATTCCGATATCGTACCGAAGGACCGGCCAGTTGGTAGTTTTTGCGTTGCCAATATTATACACACAGGAGTGTGGCAAGTATCACACCTCAAGACCGCATTGCTCTACGAGACTTGTAAACACGCTTTAAAAGAAGACAAATTTTAGTATATTTATCATCAGAACAGGGTGTTATCGGAAAGTTATTTTAACACAATAGCCTCTTTTGATTCTGGAGAATCGTTTTCCAGAGA